CCACTCCTTCATAACAAGTTCATCAATGAATATTATCTCTGCCCATGTTAAAAATAAATAAATAAATAAATAGATAAAGGGGCTGGGGGTTTAGCTCAGCTGCACAGCACCTGCCTGGCAAGTGCGAGGTCGTGAGTTTGATTCCTGGTACCAGAAAAAAAATTTTTTTAAATTGCTTACATAAAAAAAATTGCTTACATAAAAAAAAAATTACTTAAAGCAGCTGGGCATGGTGCCTCACACCTGTAATCCCAGCACTTGGGCGGCTGAGGCAGGAGGATTGTCCCAAGTTCGAGACCAGCCTGAGCTACAAAGTGAGCTCAAGGCCAGCCTGAACTGCATAGTGAAATCCTGTCTCAAAAAAGACCAAAAAAAAAATTACCAGTTAGCTGGGCATGGTAACACATGCCTGATGTCCCAACACTCTAGGAGGCTGAAGCTGGACCACAAGTTTGAACTCAGCATGGCAAATTAGTGACTTTGGGAGACCCTGTCTCAAAATTTAAAAAAAGGGCTAAGGATGTAGCTCCCTGGGAAGACCTGGGTTCAATCCCCAGTACCAGGTACAGTGGCATATGCTTGTAGTCTCAGCTACTCAGGAGGCTGAGGCAAGAGGATTAGTTGACTCCAGGCATTTAAGACTAGTGTGGGCAACACAGTGAGGCCCTATCTCCCCACCTCAAAATACATATGTGTAGCAGAAAATGTGCCCCCACCCCGCCAGTATATTTCAGTTTGTTAGTTGCCCAGGTAAAGTTCTGGTTACAGTTCCTGTTACTTTTGTTTCTTAGAAACAGTTGGTCACTGTGATGGCTAGATGGTCACTATGATGCACTCTGTAAGAACCAATCCCCAATTGACAAGCTGTTCTGCTTCTGTACTTCCTGCTTGCTTATCCCATATGAGCCCAGGACCACCAGAGATCAGGGCCTGATATTTTGGGAATGATCTCAATCAGTGCCTGGCAATGTAAAATAAATCTGCCTCCAAATTCTGGGTGTTGTTTCAGTGCTTCTGCCTGCCGTTGCAGTCAAACCTTGGTTTGCAAGCATGAGTCATCCCAAAAACATGTAATCCAAAGTACTTGTATATCAAAGCAAACTTCTCCATAAGAAATAATGGAAACTCAAATGATTCATTCCACAACCCAAAAATATTCATATAAAAATGATTACAATAGTGTAATATAATACAAAATATAAAGGAAAATTAGTTAACCTGCATTTACCTTTGAAAACCTTCATGTTGGTATGAGAGAGACAAGAAAGAATTCGCAAACATCTCTAGTACATTTTAACCTGATAAATGAGTTATGTCCCTCAATACTCGTATGTGATGACAAACGTTACGTGCTCACAACCGGTGCTCACACACACCCTCCCTCTGTCTCTCTCTCTCTTGCTGCTTTGATGTGCAAGTGCTTTCGACTGTAAGCAGAATTATTCTCACAAACCATATAGGTAGATAGATAGAAAGATTTGAAGAAGAGTAGCGGGTTGTGTGTTATCTTCCTAGCTAGAATCTTTTCTTGCCTCTTTCTAGCTTCCAGTACGTGCTGGCAGTCTTTGGCTCTCCTTGGATTGTGGATCCATGTCTCCAATGTCTGCCTCTGTGTCATATGGCATTCTCCTTTCTATGTGTCTGTGTCCCAATTTCCCTTTCTTGAAACAGCACAACAGTAGTTGGATTAGGGCCCATCCTCATTCAATATGACCTCATTTTAACTTGATTACATGTGCAGTTTTTTATTTCCAAATAAGGTCAAATTTACAAGAACTAAGGAAGGCTGGGCATGTTGGTGCATGTCTGTAATCCTAGCATTTGGGAGGCTGAGGCAGGAGGACTGCCCTGAGTTCAAAGACATCCTGGGCTACATAGTGAGTTCAAGGCCAGCCTGAACTACATAGTGAGACCCTGTCTCAGAAATACATACATACATACATACATACATACATACATACTGAGGGGAAAGGGTTACGATTGAAACATATCTTTGGGGTGGGAACAAATTTTTGCCCAGTATAAATAGTAAGAAGTAAAGGGAATTCTAAAAAATGAAGGGTAGTGGACATAAGGAGTGGCCACTATTACACAAGTTTAGACAGAGCATACAAGAAAAAGCCTCCCTCCTTCCTGGGCGGGAGATTCACAACTCTTTGGAGCAGCCACAGAATTCCCTAAGATGCCACTCTGGTCAGACTTCTTGGAAATTTTCCCTCAAGGTGCCAGGGAAAGCTGTTCATGACAAGGTGCCTCCCTGGAGGGACTCCACTATAAAGCCATCCAAGGATGGTTCCAGGGGAGCTGCTGGCCAGTAGGTACTGATGGCCACCGTGATGGGAGGTGCAGAAGCTGCAGGTGCCGGAGAAGGTGGGTGCTGGGGAACCCACTGACACTTCAGAGCCTATCAGCAGTGCTCAATGCAACCAGAAAGCAAAACTTTTTTCTTCTGGGCTGAGTATGTAGGACTGGCAGAGTGCTTGCCTAGCATGCAAGAAGCCCTCCATTTGATCTCCAGCACCCAAAAATAGAAAAAAACACCCTTTCTTCCTGTAATGTCTTCCTTGCCAGTGTACTGGAAAACCTTAACACCAGCTGGCAAAGAAATCTTAAAGATCTTAGATCTATTTTCACTGAGCAGAGGGAAAGGGTAAATTCAAGGGGTAGGGGAAAAAAATAAAAAGGGCTAAGGATGTAGCTCAGTGGTAGAGCACTTGCCTAGTGTGAGATTAGTAAGGTAGGACTTGAATTCACTGGCCAGCATGGTCCTCCTAGCACTCAGGAGGCTGAGGCAGGATTGCTGGAGTTTGAGGTCAGCTTAGGCTATACTGTGAGATCAAGGTCAGCCTACCCTACATAGTGAGACCTTGTCTAAAAAAACAAAGCAAAACAAGAATCTCACTGTGGGGAGCAGCTGAAGCTGGAGATCAATCACATGAGCAGGGCTAAAGCAAGGCCAGCCCCGAGAACACAGAGCGCCCGAGGGGAGCCATATGAACAAGCTGTTCCAGCACCAGCAATGTGAGGTGCTCGAGGCCAGCCAGGCAAACAAGTTGTTAGGCAGAGGGGTTTCAACTGAATCAAAACCCTACTCCCTGTGTGTAAATAAACTTGATGCAGTTGTTGGGCAGTTCTTTTTTCTCCCACCAGGAGAGGAGGCTCCACCTGACCTCAGCTTTCTACATTCTGACTCTTGTTTCCACTTCTTCATCCTCCACTGTCCTCCTCCTGGGAAATTTGAGAGCTGCACTGGACAAGGCACCTCACATTGTTTTCTCTGCTCCTGAAGGCTTCCACCCTGGGGCCTGGGAAGGATTTGTGCGTTTAAACGTTCAGTGTCTTAAGGCTGAGACTACTGTACTCTCTTAAGCACTCCCACCTAAATAAAGCATCAGCACACTGCAAGGAACATCTTGAGGCACCACACTGCCAGCTGGAAAAGCTGCTGCCTGCTCCATCAGACATCTCACAAAGCCCTCTTAATTGTTTTTTGTCTTTTTGAGACACTGTCTTGCTGTCTAATTCAGGCTAGCCTTGAACTCGCTACGTAGCCCAAGCTGCCTCAAACTCAGGGCAATCCTCCAGCCTCTGCCTGCGTGGTGGGATTACAAGTGTCACTACCACAACCAGACCACTGGACTGCCTTTTTTTTTTTTTTTTTTTTTTTGCGAGGGGGAGGGCGGGTGGAGACAGGGTATCACTGTGTAGTCCAGCCTGGCCTGGAACTCCAGGCAATCCTCCTGCCTCAGCCTCCCACGTGCTGGGATTATACCACCACACCTGGCCATCTGCATCCTGATTTTAGACATAGGGCTCTAGGTTTCAAGTTCAAGGCCAGCTTGTGCAATTTAGTGAGACGCTGTCTCAAATTTTTTTAAAAAAGAAAAAGGGCTGGAGATGTAGCTCAGTAGTAGAACACTGGCCTAGCATGTGAGAGGCCCTGGGTTCCACCCCCAAAGCCAAAAAAAAAAAAGAACCGAACAAGAAATTCTGTGGGCCTGTAGTCCCAGCACTCAGGAGTCTGAGGCAGAAGGATCACTGCAAGCTGGAGGCCAGCCTGGGCCACATAGTGAGTTTAAGGCCGCGTGTACTACATAGCGAGACCTTGTCGGAAGGAAGAAAGAAATTCTGGGGGAAGGAGAACTAGCAGAGCCACAGATTTTTGGGAGGTGGTGAGGACGCCTTTAGGTGTTAAAAGCCCAGTACCTGCCCACCCCTCCCCATCAGCAGTCCAGCTTCTAGTAAAGGCTCAACGATACAGTCTCCCCAAGCGTTGCGATCCCACCCCTGCCTTACTCCTCAAAACCATGCTCCGAGGGCCTGGGGATTTAGCTCAGCGGCACAGTGCCTGCCTGGCAAGCGCAAGGTCGTGAGTTCGACTCCCGGTAACAGGAAAAAAAAAAAAAAATGCACCGCCATCATACAAGCCATTCCTAACAGTGCCTGTGGAGCCCTGATCAGAAAGAGGAAAGCGGGCCCGGCTCCGCTAAGTAAGCTAGTGTGGGCTACTGGGCTCCTGCAACGGCACCCCTATAGTGACCCCTCTAAGACCAAGACGCCCCCCTCTCCCGTAAGAAGGTGAAGTGGAGCTCAGCGTACGCAGCCTCCTCCCCACCTCGGTTCTAGTCTCTAGGACCCTGCACACACTGGAGCCGGAGGCAGCACCAGCCCTGGTCTCTGACCTCGGCGTTAGGACTCAAGGCCCCTGGCAGCGATGCGGGAACCCAGTTAAGAGACTCGGTATGCAGCCGGAACCGGCTTCAAATGAGGACTCTCTAGGACATCGGGAAGTTCACAAATCGTTAGCACTCGGTCGACCTTTATTGGCCTAAAAACGAAAGAACCGGAAGATGACCTTAAAAAACGTGGAGGGACTTTAGCTTCACTAATGTTGCCTCAATTTCCCAAGAAACCTGGCATACTATTCAGCCACTGACTGGTCTTCTAAAGATGACGCCACCTGGTACACTAACGCTCAACCTAAACGACGCTATTTGCCCTTAACTACCATGGCGGTGCTGTCCGATTTGGCTTCTTGCCCCTAAGGGTGATGGCCGTTGAGCGGCTTCACTTCGTTTCTCACCAACCCGGAAGAAGGGGTCTAGCGATTGGGTGGCGCGGGAAGGTTGAGGGAAGAAAGCCCTTAGTGGTTGGGCAGCGTTAGGTGAGGCTGGTTTTAAAGGAGCCGGTCGTGGAAGCTGTCGAAAACTGGAGATCCGCGGGAGGCGGCGGTGAGCTGCGCGCGGGGGAGGGCGCGGGGCGACTGAAGAAGGGGCGGGGGTGGCGAGGGGACATTTGAACCACCTGGTCCGGGGCTGTGGGGACGCTGGGCTGGGATTCGGCCAGGGTGGGGTTGGGATGGTGTCTGTGGGCGGGACCTCCCCCAGGTTGGAGTGAAGGGGTATCTGCTTGACAGGGGGTCCCCCGGGATTCAGACCGAGCTCCGCGATGCCCAAGCCTGGGCCGTCCCTAAATGAGTGAGGCTTTGTAGAACCGAGGCGCATAGTGGGAGGAGGAACCTCGCGTGGCGTCTGATTGGAGGAGCTACGCTGTAGGGTTCTTTTCATCGTGATCCAATCTAGGGAATCGGGGTGGGGGGCGTCGCTGCGAGGAATACCGCTTCGGCGTCCTCGGCCACTTGCCGAGGGAGGAGTATCTGAGGGGTTCAGCGGAAACGGAGCCTCCCCGGACTGGGGTCCCGGGGGTCTCGGGGCACCGTCTGCAGAGATCAAGGCCTCGAGAGGCTCGGGCCGTGAGAACTTGGCCCTCCGCAGTCCAGCTTCTCGCGGCAGGTGCCAGGCAGGGCGCGAGTGATTCGATCGCGGCGGCGGCGGCGAGAGGACTCCCTCGCCGGGCGGCCAGTCGGGGGCGCCACTGCCGCGCCTCAGGGCTCCGGCCCGTAGGCTACCCCAGAGCGGGCGGATCATGAAGGGCGGAGCCCCTGGGAAGGGGCCGGCCCTCACTCTGCGCTCCCCTGCTCCCCCTCATCCCAGGCCGCAGCCTGGGATCCCCCAGGGACCCCTTGAAGCCGCCGTTTCCCCATGGACTTGCCTGGGGATCCCAGGTGAGAGCGCACCCCGCCCACCTGTCTTGAGCCCGGGAGACGGGGGTCTCGGTGGCCGTACTGGGAAACTAGAGCCAACGACAGGTTCAAGCGACTGTCCTCTGCTTCTTTCACCCTAGTCCTTCCGGCCGGCCGAGTCTGTGCCGTCAGCCCCTAGCCCGAGCGTTACGGGAAGCCCGGAGCCCGAAACGACCGAGGCTGCAGCCCCGGGGGGCCCCTTCTCCCCTGGAAAAGGCCTCTCGGCGAGTCCTGGCCGTGGTGCTGGAAGATGTCATGGCTCCCCACACGGTGAGCCCCCTGAGCGGAAAGACCTTTCCCCGACAGCCCCCCTCAGTACCACCGTCGGACCAGCTCCCTCCTGGGGAGACAAACGCATGGCGCTCACGCCCACCGGCTAGGCGGCCTCGTAATGCTGAGCCCTGCGTGGCCTCCAGGTACTCCAGCCTGGCACCAGGCGGGTCTCCAGTGTCCCTCCGCCCGCTGGCCTGGAACCACATTCCTACGATTCTTCTTTATACATCGACGTGTTTCATTAAAATATTCCCAGGCTGTACATACAGATTCACAACGTAACATGCCTTTTCTGTACCGTGACGCTTGCCCTTCCTTCTCAGTAAATCATGCTGTCACAGCTTTCTCTGTTTTTTTGTTTGTTTTTGGTCTTGCGGGTTTTTTTGGTTCTTGTTTTTATTTTAGTAGGACATGTTCGCAGCACATGAAGTTTATCCTTATTCATCTTAGGGAGTAAGTGCGTGTCCTTAACATATCTTGATTTTTTTTTTTTTTTTTGTATTGGGAATCAAGCTCAGGACTTCCAGCTTGCCAGGCAGGCACTGTTCCACTGAGCTAAATCCTCGGCCCTTCTTGATTTTTTTAATAATTTTTATTCCCTTTCCCTCCCCACCTCTCTCCATCTTTCCCTTCTCTCTCATACATTTCTGCGATTCTTCTGCTTTTTTCCCCTGGGAAGCACACTATGATAGTTGACTCCACTGCACAGGTGAGAAAAACTGAGGCCCCAAATCAGGCAAAACCCGCCCAAAGTAACCCTCTTTTTCATCTCTCTAAACAGCCCGATGAGATTACTCACAACCCACACCTGCCACTCAGGACTCTAATAACTAGGCTCTAATTCAGACCAACTTAGCTCTGGGTGATCCAAGTGAATTCCAGCCATGATCTCTGTCCCTTTTGTGCCTAAGGGCATTATTAAGCACAAAGAAACCCAGTTTAGTCCAACTTCATTCCTGCTGTTAACACTTCTTCCTCCGCTAGGTCTCCCGAGCCAGACAAAAGGAGTTCATCCCATGGGACCAGAGCGACCACCAAGCTTCTGTCTGTAACCAGGCACCCACCTCACCGCCCAGGCAGGTCAAGTGGTCTTCGCAGGCCAGGTGCGCATTGGGGGGTGGGCAGGAAGCTGGCAGGCTGTGAGCCCGCTCATCTTCCCGTCTCTCACCAGGCCTCCCGACTCTCTGCATTTATGCAGAGATCCCTTAAGTCGCATCCACCGATCTTCTACGCTGAGGCGGCGATCGAGGACAACCCCTAGCCCTGAGAGCAGCCCTGCACAAAAGGTGGACCGGGCCCCCCAACCCACCCTGGTGGTGCTGCTGGAAGATATTGGTGCTCCCAGGCCCCCAGCGGAGGTACGGAAAGAGAGTTGAGGATGTCAGGGATCCGGCTAGAGCAGTCCTACCAGCGGGGTAGAAGGCAGCGTAGGGAGCCTGAACTGGGTAGGTTTCTCCCAGGGCAGGACGACAGCATCGTAGACAGCAGACACTGCCCGAGCAAAGGCTATATTAAAGAAAAAGTCTTTGGTGTGAACCCAAGGGGGTATCTGGGGACTGAAAGAATCAGGACACGGTGAGCTAGGGAAGCCAAAGAGGGCTTCCCTACCTCTCCACAAATATCCCATGTTTACATCCAGGGCTTCGTCGGTGAGAGCCCCAACTTCATCATCCCAGTACAAAGGTGAGAGCTGGGGAAGGGATTATCAGAGTGTTCACGCCGCAGCCATCACCCAGGTAGCCAGAGCTAAGGGCTTCAGATGACTCACCAGTTCTTCCTTGTAGCTCCTTCAGAGGACTTAGGGACAGGGCGGTGCTGGCCGAGGGGGATCTGACCCTGGAAGCTCCCCCAGCCTTTGCCTTGTTCCTCCATCCAGAGCTGAGCCTGTGATGATGGTTCACCAGTCAACGCCTGCACCCAGGGACCGAGATCCTCCGTTCCAGCCATACCCGCTGTCTGCAGACCATGCGGACAGCCCAACACCAGGTAAAAACTCAGAAGGGTGAGACTCGGGAGTCCAGAAAAGCCTAGGTGAGGTTTGGTTTGCTAGAGGGTCTAGCTATGTAGTCCAGACTGGCTTGGAACTTACTGTGTAGCCCAGACTAGCCTTTAACTGACGGGGGCCCTCCTGCCTCAGCCTCCCAAGTGCCGGGTTTACAGGCCTCCACCACCATACAAGCTCATAGTTGAGTTTATGTCAGGTGCAGAGGTGGGGGTGGGGCTTAGACTGCCGAGGCTGGAGGTGTAGCTCCTAACTGGAGGAGTTAAGCTTCAGAAGAGGGCTTATTCTTCTGTGGACACAGGTCAGTGTTTTGGGGGGGCTCAGACGCTGCCGCTGAGGGGTGCCCACCTGTGACACTCTCCTTCCCTCAGCCCCAGATGCGGCTCTGGAGCCCCCATCGACCCCACCACCATCCAGCCTTTTGCGCCCCCGCCTCAGTCCCTGGGGCTTGGCCCCCCTCTTCCGCTCCGTGCGCTCCAAGCTGGAGAGTTTCGCTGACATCTTCCTTACACCCAACAAGACCCCGGAGCCCCCACCCCCGTCCCCGCCCATGAAGCTGGAGCTGAAGATTGCCATCTCGGAGGCCGAGCAGTGCAGGGCCGCGGAAGCCACTGCCACCATCAGCCCCCGGCCCCCCATCCGCCAGTGGCGGTCTCAGGACCACAGTATTCGTGCACCTCTCCCTAAACTCTCTCTGGGCCGAAGCCACTCCTGCCCTGATCTGGGGCGCCCGGGCCCGGGCCCCTGCGCCTGGCCCCCTTCTCCACCCCAACCAAGCCGGCCACGGCCGCGGCGGCACACCGTCGGGGGTGGAGAGACGGCCAGCGCCCCGCCGCCCCCTCTGCCCTGTCTCCGGAAGGAGGTCTTCCCTCTCGGGGGAGTAGGAGCCTCCCCTCCTCGAGCCACATCTTGCTCGTCCACTGCGCCCACTTCCTCCTTCTCCGAAGCAGCAGAGCCCAGGTAGAGCTCTCCATGGACGCTCCTGAAGGCCTGGTCGCAACCAGAGCCTGGCTTCCTTCCGCAGTGTGCACCGGGCAGGAGATGGGGCGGTGCTGTGAACCCTCTTTGCCACCGAGCCTTCCCCTTTTCCGCAGGTTGGGCTCGGCCAAGGGGAAGGAGCCAGGGGCCTCAAAGGACCAGGTGCCTTCAGACCCCGAGACCAAGGTAGGCGTACAGGTGATGGGAAGCAGACGGAGGGCCCTGAGGTGGAGGGCCATGCCAGTCTTTCATGATGCCATTTTTTGCAGACTATGGGAAAGGTTTCCCGATTCAGAATACGCAGAACACCCAACCGTCCTCAACTGAATCTTACACCAATGGGGCTGCCCCGTCCAGTCAGGTGAGGAGCTCACTGGGCAGGGAGCTGCCTTGACCAGGCGGACGGAGGCTCACACCCCTGAAGTGTGGCTTCGTCTCCTCAGGCCGAACAGCCTAGCCGGGAGATTGAATTTGATGTGGTTTGTGCTTCAAACTCCCTGTCTGTTTCAGACAGCTCTCCTGACCCTGGCATGTCCCAGAAACTAAAATATAGCCTAGGCTTTACCTAGCCCTTTTTTTTTTTCTTTCTCATTTTTGGTCTTTTTTGAGACAGGGTCTCACTATGCAGTTCAGGCTGGCCTTGAGCTCACTTTGTAACCCAGGCTGGTCCCAAACTCCCAACGATCCTCCTGCCTCAGCCTCCCGAGTGCTGGGATTGCAGCCGTGCACCACCACGCCCGGCTACCTATCCCTTCTTCAAGTTCCGCCAGCCTGAGGTTTCTCGTGTCCTCTGTTCTTTGCTCCCAGATTGAACAAGAAGGAGTTCAGCTTGGAAGAAATTTATACCAACAAGAACTATCAGTCACCCACAGGCAGGAGGTGAGAAACGTTGAAGGTCAAGGGTGGTAGAGGAAGGCTGGAGCCAGGGGGGCACGTTGGTTGACAGCGCCTCCTTCTGCCTGCTCCAGGACCTTTGAGACCATCTTTGAGGAACCACGGGAGCGCAATGGGACTCTGATTTTCACCAGCTCCAGGAAGCTCCGCCGGGCTGTAGAATTTCGAGACGGCAGCCTTCCTCGATCCCGTCGGCCATCCCGCGGGGTCAGGGCGACCGCGGGCAGGACTGTTACTCCCGGCCCGGCCCCCAGCCGGGACGTGGGGCCTCTGCTGCAGAAGCGGCTGGAGGAGCTCGATGCCTTGCTCCTGGAGGAGGAAAAAGCGGGTGGGGAGAGGCCCCACCAGTGCTAGGAGCTCCGTCCATCTCCCAGCCAGGGAAGGCGCTGTTTGTCCGTCCATCTCCCTAGAGGGAGGGGAAACCTCTGAGGCAGTTATATTTTTTTCTCTATATTTCTAGTAAAATTTTCGATGCTTCTGATTTTCTTTTCGTCTCTCGCTGCTCGTGAGACTGGCCGCACTGCCTGATGTATGTCGAGCCCCCTCACAGGTCCGGGAAAAGGGAGTGGTGCACGGAACGTGCGAGAAGGGCCTTGGGGACGGAAGAAAAGCAATGGTGATCGGAAATTCTCTCTTGACTTGAGATTTCTTTGCGGAAGGATGTTTATGAGAAAGCTCCCGGGTCCTCCCAGTCCATTCGCGTAAAGGGCACAGCCGGGCATGGTGCGCTGCCTGTAATCCCTGCTACTTGGGGAGGCTTAGGCAGGAGGATGACAAGGTTGAGCCCAGGTTAAGTGGCTTAACGGGACCCTGTCATAAAATGAAAGAAGCTGGGGATGCATGTAGCTCAGTAACCCAGTTCAATGTCCAGTACCACAAAAAGACAAGAAAAAAAAAAAAAAATCAAAGGAGACTAAAAGGCTCAGAGTGCACCAGGCCTTCGCGAAGACCTGCTGCTGGACTCGAGCTTGGCGCAGGCGGCGCAGGTCCTCGCCGGGGACAGCGGCTGTGCGGACCCTCGCAGCCCGGGCAGCCGGTTCGCGAGAGCGCGCCGCGCGGCGCCCGCAATGCAACAGCGGCGCAGGCTCCGAAGGGGGCGCATAGAGCACTGTTATCTCCAAACGAATGCCTCTGTGAGAACGTGCGCGCCACACAGACGCAAGGTGTTTTTGTGCTCGGGCCGGGAGGTACCAGGTAACGGACGCGGCTCCCCGCCTCCCGAGCGACCCGCCGAGCAGCAGGCTGCGGGCGAGGAGTGGGGATCGCCGTGCGCGTGCGTGCGCGAAACGCCGAGTGCGGCGGAAAGGAGACGTGGTGCAACAGTACTTTTCGCGGCCGCGCGCCACCTAGTGGTCAACTGTCCACTAAGACTGGCACCACATCCCAATCCCTAGTCAGCTCCTCGCCTCGACGCCATCAGCAGGTGGCCAATAAAGGAAGAGCAGGAAGAGGCGGGATCACGTGGGACACCGCCGCAAACACCTAATCAGTGGAGTCACAAGACTTGAGGAAGGGCGGGGCTAAGACGGACCCAATCAAAGGTTGGGGGCGGTTACACATTTCCCCCTCCTCAGGGTTTGACCCCGCCCTTCACTTTGACGTGTAGTGCTTCCTACCCTATCAACGACTGAGCCTGCAGCGGCCCGGGGGAAGGGGGCGGAGGGTAGGCGGAGGCAGCGAAAGGAAGGAGGCGTAGGCCGAGGAGGAAGAGGGAGGAGGGGCAAGAGAGTCCAGGCGGAGAAGAGGCCCAAGACTCCAAAGGAGACGACGGGAGGGTGCGCTGGCGTTCTTTCGGTGCCCAACGGCCGTTCCGGATCCCTTAAGGCACAAGTCAGACAGACGGGAAAAGCAGGAAGAGACTTTTATGTCGGCGGACAGAGAAGCTTTACCCGTCACCGTTGCCTCACATCCGGGGCTTTGGAGGGCTGGCCCCCGCAGCCCCGCCCCCCTTCCGCGCCTTTCATGGCGACCGGAGGCGGAGGCTGCTGTAGCTGGGCTTGGAGGAAGCCCCTTTAAATCTTCTTAAAGGGGTAGTCGTCGTACTCGGCCGACTTTGACGCCAGCCTTAAAGGGGAAGCCGTCGTACTGAAGCTGACAAATTGAGAACTGGGCTGTTGGGCGAACTGGAGCGAGTGGGATTTCCCACCTCTTCTCCCCGCCCACGCTACAAGTCCTTTAAATTCAGCTTAAAGGGGAAGTGGCTGCTTGTGGAGGACTAGAAACTTAACTCGCGAACCCTTAAAGGAACGGCTTGCTGTTTGAAGGATTCTGGACTCCTTAAAGGGGTGGCCTCTTTTAACCGGAGGACTTGAGACACTTTTAAAGGGGAGGTTTGCGTTTCGGGTCGAGCTTTCGGCCCCTTTTAAAGGGGTGGCCCTTCCTCTTCCTCGGGGAGACTTGCCTCGACCCCTGGCAGGGGGCGGCTACCGCACCAGGCCGGCCGGACACAGTCGGGTCGCCTTAAAGGGGCCGGGGGCTGGACAACTTGAGGCCTCATCTTAAAGGGACGGCCGCCCCGTTTTCGCCGTCGCGGCCCCGCCGGCCCCACAGGGGGGGCCCTCGGGCTTGTCGCCCCGGGGGCGGCGCCGGCTCTCCAGGCCTTGGCCTTGAGGCGAGCTCAGGGCCGGCGGGTCCTGCTCTAAAGGGGAAGCCGTGGCCTTCCCGTCCCTGTGCGGTCGCCAGCGCCGCGCTTGCGACCCCGGGCCTGCGGACAGGCCGCTCCCGGCCCCGCCGCCTCCGGATGCA